GAACTGGGACACCAGCTTTTTCCTGCCTTTGGGCTTTAACAGAAATATCAGCTTTTCGTGGGTCTTGAAACTGCTGACCTTCAACTTTGATCTACCCGACTGGTTCTTCCATCTCCAATTTGCCAACTACAGCCTTGGGAGTTATCATCCTCCATAATCCCTTAAAACAAACAAACAGCATACACTAGATGGAAAAAAATTATAAATACATATATAATTATACATATATAATCATATATCATTTCATATATAATATATAATTACATATATAATAAAATTATATATATGTACAGAAATAGAACTATATATATAAAGTACAAAACTCTGGCTAGTATATACATATTTACCAATAAAATCTATTGTTTTTCCTGTTTGCTTGGATAATATGGCAAGAAAAATTAAAGTTTATAAAGATTACAAAGGAAGAGAAAAGCTCACTATTTGAAGATTACAGAACTGTGTACATATATAATAAAATTATATATATGTACAGAAATAGAACTATATATATAAAGTACAAAACTCTGGCTAGTATATACATATTTACCAATAAAATCTATTGTTTTTCCTGTTTGCTTGGATAATATGGCAAGAAAAATTAAAGTTTATAAAGATTACAAAGGAAGAGAAAAGCTCACTATTTGAAGATTACAGAACTGTGTACATTAAAAGTCAAAAGAAGGGCTAGATGGCCTTTCACTCCATGCTCTTCCCAGGATCTTGGGCACGCATGCACACATGCCCAGCATAAGTTTACTGATTCAAATATTAACGACATCTACAAACACTCTCACAGAAATACTGAGAGTAATGTTTGATCAAATAGATGGACAGTCTGTGACCCAGTCAAGGTGACACAAAATTAACCATTATAATATCTTTTATTAGAGTAAATGTATTTCTTCTTACCTGTGATTTGCTGGGGTGTTTTTTAAATTGCTTCATGGATATTTTAATTTTATAAAATGCCTTTTCTGCAGATGTTGAGATTATTTTATTTTTCTCCTTTATGCAGTTAACGTGATAAATTGTAATGCTTGATTTTTTGTTGTATACCCTCCATGCCAGGTGGCATGGAAGTTAAGATACTGGCTCTCACATGGATGACTTCATAGTTCAAGTCTCACACCCACCAGCTTGAAAATCCCACTGGGTGCATGTGTGTGCATGACCAAATCCTTGGAGGAGAATGGAAGAGAAGGGATTATGGCATGGCCATCCCCCCTGGGAGATTTCTCACTTTCCTTCTCTCTCCCTCTTTCCTTCTGTCCCTCTCAGATAAGCATATGGGCCCTATGGCAAAAAAAATATAAACAAACAAACAAACAAGAATATACAGTATTTTAGAATTTAGTAAACTTAGCGAGATCATTAGACATGAAGTCAATATATTAAAATTAATTATATTTCTAAACATTAACAACAAACAATTGAACATGGAAATTATTTTAAAAATGTAGTTTGGGGACCAGCAGTTAGCGTAATGGTTATGTTGCTGGACTCCCATGTAGTCAACCACGGTTCGCGTCCCGGACCTGGTGGCTTAAAACTCACACGGAGCACGTGTGCATGCGTGCCCAAGATCCCGAGAGGAGAATGGAGGAGAAGGGATTGCGGCATGGCCATCCCCTCAGGGGGTGATTTCTCGCTTTCTGTCTCTATGTCTCTCTCTATCTGTCTGGAGAGCGCACTCTATCTGTCTGAGCGGCCCCCGCCCACTAAAAAAAAAAAAAAAAAAAAAAAAAAAACAAAAAAAAAAAAAACAACTTTGTAGGGCTGGCCCAATAGCCTAGTAGTTAAGGGAACCAGAGTCCCCCATGGCCAACTGTGGCTTGAATATGACTCCAGAGATTTTAAAAGCATACCAGGCACATGCCTCAAATCATAGCAGAATGGAGAAAGGGAGGAGGAGGAACTGTGGTATGACCATGCCCCATTGGGGGTCACTTTCTCTCTCTGTCTTTCTCTCTGTCTCTTATCTCTCTTTCTGCCAAGTGCATGTGCCCTTTTTTGCATGCTTCTTCTTTCACCAAGTGTACATTCAGACATATGCTGCCCATTTTTAAACTAAATGTTAGTCTTCTTCTTATTGATTATAAGGTTATGTGATGTGCTCTGTCTATCCCAGATACTAGTCTTTTGTCAGGCATATGTATGGTGGTACAGTCATGCTTGCCTTTTTATTTTCTTTATAGTGTCTTTCAAAAAGCAGAAGTTTTCAATTCTGATGAAGTTCAATTTATCAAACGTTTTCTTCCATGCTTCATGCATTTTTGTGTCCTAAGAAAGCTTTGCAAACTCTGACATAGCAAAGATTTTTCGACTAGGGTTTCTCTCAGAAGTTTTATCATTTTAACTTTTACATTTTGAGTTAATTTGTGTGTGTGGTGTGAGATAAAGACTGTGGTTCATTTTTTCCCTTATCAACAAGCAGTTTCCCAGCACCGTTTACTAAAAGCATTATCATTTCTCCCACTTACTTACATTGGCTCTTTGTTGAAAATGAATTGACTGTATATGAATCTTTCTGCACTACCCAAGGGCAACCTGACTTTTAAATTAATGTAGAAAAGCGAAGGGCCTAGAAGAGCTGAGATGTTCTTGAAGAAGACAAAACTAGAGGGCTTAACATCATAGTTTTAAATCAATGTGGAATGAGCCAAGGATAGCAAACTGAACAAGAGAACACAATAGTCAGAGACAAACTAAACAATTACGGTCACCCAACTTACAATAAACTTGCACTGCAATTCACCAGGCAAAGCATGGCCTTTTTAATGGAAAAATAAATGAAACTTTACCCCTACCTCACACATACACAAAATTAATTCGAATGTATCATAAAGTTAAGTATCAACAGTAAAAGCAATAAAACTTCTAGAACAAAACACAGAAAATTTTCTTCATCACTGTTAGATTAACAGCAAGTTCTTGAACAGGGTGCTGAAAACTTTAAGCAGAGTTCCCAAAATTTGATAAGAAAAAACAAGCAACTCAATGAAAAAAAAAAAAAAGAAGGAGCAGAAAATCAGAATAGGCACTTCCCCAAAGAAGATATTCAAATGGCCAATAAGCCTGTCAGATGATGCTCAATATCATTATCCTTTAGAGAAATGCAAATTAGAACTGCGGTGAGATACCACTGCATGCTCACCAGAGTGACGAAAACTGAAGAGACTGATAATATCAAGTGGGCAGGATGTAAAGTCGCTGGCAATCCCATCCGCAGCTGGGGAGAGGGCAAGGGGTGCGCCTGCTTTGTAAAACTGCTTGGCAGTGGCCAGCACAGCACACACACGGCCTACACCCAGCAATCCCACGCCTAGACACATAGGAAACAGAGACGCATGTGCAGGACCTAAAACACATCCACAAGAAGTCCTCAGCACTGCTATGCATAATAGTCCAGCTACTGAGAAACGCCCAGATGAACGCCAGCAGGGAAATGGATAGATGACCTGGGGGATACTTATTTCATAGAACACTACACATCAAGGCCAGTGAGGGAACTATGACTATGATCAGTAGTGTGGGTACTTATTATTTAATCAGTTTTCCTATAGGGCATGGGCACTTGCCAGAGAGAGAGAGAAAAACACACCCCGAGGGGGGATGGCCATGCTACAATCCATTCTTGTTCATTCTCCTCTTGGGATTTTGCACACGCATGCACCTGGTAATGTTTTTCAGGTCCAGGACTTGAACCATTCAGTGTGCTAAGTGGAATTCAGCCACATTAACCACCACACACCTGGCTGGGCCATGGATACATTTTACAAAGATAATTTTGAGCAAAAAAAATTAGACAGGAAAGAGCACATGTTGTGTGCTGCTGTTCATTTGAGGCTCAAAAGCAGGCAGTTAGTGTACAAGCGAGTACAGCAGTTACCTCTGCAGGGGAGAGCGGATAGGCTGGGGCAACGGTGCTTCTGAGGCTCTGGGAATGTTCTAGAGCTGAATTTCCCTACTGGGACATTATTGACATTTTGGGCCAGATCAGTTTTTGGTGTGGAGGCTGTCCTGTGTGCTGTGGCACTCCTGCCCCTACCCACTAGGTGTCAGTAGCACAACTCTCCCATCCCCCACAGCATGACTACCAAAAACTGCTATGTTCCCTTGGAGGAGGAGGTGCAAAACTCCCCTGGCTGCAGGTCACTGCTTTATTGCTGGTCCTGTAGGCGTTAAGTGTATGTGCTGCCCTTATGGAAATTCCTTGAGCTGTACATGTATGATTCATTATACATGGTACACTTTAAAAGTTTTTGAAATTAAACAAAAGTCAATAAATCAAAAGAGCCATGAAATTTTAGAGCACACAGGGCCAGCATATATATACTACTGTTTAATTTCTATATATTTTTTTTTTGGAGAGATTTTTGCTATAGGGCGCTTGCGCTCACCAGGAAGACATAGAGAGACAGAGAGAAAGAAAGTGAGAAATCACCCCCCAGGGGGGATGGCCACACCGCAATCTCTTCTCCATTCTCCTCTCGGGATCTTGGGCACGCACACACAGCGCCCGGCGTGAGTTGAAGCCACCGGGTTCAGGACTCGAACCACGGTCGACTACTTGGGAGTCCAGCGACATAGCCATTATGCTAACTGCTGGTCTCACTGTTTAATTTCTCATTGGGTAGCTCAAGGTAGGTGGCCAAAGAGACCCAGTGAAAGGATCCTCATCCCTGACTTTGAAGCCCATTTTGCTCCCCCATTCTCTCGGGCCCTCATGCATTCTTATCAAGCGTTGCCCAAGGCAGTAAGGGTGCTGACCACTTGCAGAACCTCAGCTGGACCTTTGGGACCCTAACCCGCTGTGGAAGCAGTTAGGGCTGATGGATGCTGCACCCAGGACCCTGCAAAGGGGACTCTGCAAACCAATATCTCAGGCAAACAGGATACTAGCTTTTGTCAGAAAGATCAAAAGGGTTTGAGGTTTTCTTCACCGCCTCAGCCTCCCCTCCCTCTCCTCTCTCACCTTATCTCCTCCTCTCAGTGTGCAGGCAGCCTCTTGCATTGGGGCAGGAAGAGATGGCGGCAGCAGGCGAGACGCAGATCTACGCGAAGGTTTCCAACAAGCTCAAGGGCCGCAGCACGCCCTCGCTCCTCGACCCACTCCTGGCCATGGGCTTTCCGGCACACACCGCGTGAGTACCAAAGTACAGCCACATATGTGTGTGTACCAGGGACCTCGGAGCCCCAGCAGACCCTCATGGCCACTGGCACTGTCTCACGGCACCGGCTTCCTGTCTAAGTGGTGCTCCTTGCAGGGTGAGACATTGTCTCAAAAGAAGTTCTTTGTCTGCCTTTTATAAATGAAATGATATTTACCTTTGAAGGACCAACTCCTCTGGCTGGCTGATGGGGGGCCCTAGAAACCGGCAATTAAGAGCCATCTGCTGTTACTAGGGTCACCTCACCTTGTAGCGTTGGAAGGCCTGGTTGTATCTCCCTGTGTGCGGTGAGATTGCACACTCAAACGTATTGCACACTCAAACGTGCAAAGTTCCCAACCCAGTGAGTCCTCAATGCTGAGACCTGCTAAGAGAAACATCAGTGACGTTGTATTTCTAAAATACACAGGAAACGCCTGTCGTCCTTAGGGAAAATCTCTCAAATGTCCAGTAGTGAACAAAACAGGTAAACAATAGCATTGTTCCTATCACTGCACTAGTCGTTATTGTACAACAGGCCCTATCCCTCTCTGGTCTAGAGACCCAAAGTCCCAGCCCTTTGCCACTCAACAAGACACAGAGAGGCAAAGTTGTCGGTGAGAGAGGAAAGGAGAATTTATTACTGTGTGGCCACACTGGGGAGACATGAAAAAGTATCTTCGACTGCTCAGCCAACTGACAGATGCCTTTATTGGGGAGGGGAGAAACTGGGGGCTAGTGGCACCTGCAGAAAAGGACAGGTCAGGCTACATTTTAGCTTGGTTTAGCCAGGGGTGCAATCAAGCAATTTGTCTTTAAAAACGAGTTTCAGTTCCCTGGAGCAGAATATTCCTCATTGTTTCAGGTTCCAGGTTGATTATCCAGGAGTGTGTCTCCCTGGTGCTCCTAGAGAGCTCTCAGACAAAGACTACCAGGCTGAGATTCGATGTACAAGATGCAGTCGGGCTGGCTTAAGTGGGCCACTTTTACCTACTTTCCCAAGGAAAAGGTCAGCATGCGGAACGTTACCTTAGGACGTGCCTGACTCGGAGAGGGAAGAGTTGAGCAGCTGTCCTAACAAACCGCTTTCTTAGATGGCTCCTTTTCAGGAGAAATATGAAAAATACGTAAGAAATATACTTTGAGTAACCTCAGTTCTGAGATGGGGCAAAATTTTCTTCAACATTATAGCAAAACCTCAACCACATTGGATGAACTAACTTGAGGCTAGACCCCTTTCTTTTCCTCCCTGAATCAGGACTTTGCCGCGACCTTATACTCCTAGCAAACCAGGGGTAGGTTAAGTGGAATCGGGCATGGGCAGGGTAGTGCCATGTGCCAGGTGCCCTCCGGGCAATGCAGACAGGACGTCTTCATCTAACCTCACCTCCGGGTGCAGACAAGGGCGCCAAGGCCCGAGAGGGCAGTGAGTGGCAGGGCAGGGCTTGAACCCCCCTCAGTGTCTCTACAGGAGTCTGTGCTATTTTACGACAGAAGCCATAGTGTGGCTTATACTCCATCCCCTGTACTTTAAATATCAGATACTCAGTGATTTTAGGGGAGGGTGTTTTATGTCTCAATTACGCTGGGTACCTCAAAATAAGGCTCATGCCCGGGCCTCCCTGTTGGAACTTTCAGGCAGCCGCGTCCCATCACATTCACCCAGTTAACAGCTGGGGTAGCGCTGAACCAGCTCCCTCATCAACACCCACTCTTTC